AGAGTTGTAATCTAGTGGCAGGTTGCAGATTTCTGTTGTTATCCAGTACATTCCAGAGATTAAATAAATTGGACTAGACTCTAGTAGTAGACTCGTCTTCTTCTACTTCTAAACCTTCGAGATTACAAAGGCCAAGCCTAGGCTTGTAAGGATTCGTTTTGTTAAAAGTGTTGTTTAACACAGTCTATGAAGTTAGCAAACCTAACACATTGTTTTCTAACGAAATGATGCTTAAATTGACTTTTATATTGTCAATAAGAGATCAAGTTTAATCACCTAATCATTTAAGTAAGGAAGTGGCTATTGCTATCCTCGCCCGGGGTGAGAATAAAAACCCTACGATTGACCTCTCACCCCGGGTGAGACTTGCCAGCGTTGGCTATTCTCACCCAGTGTGAAACAAGACCTGTTTTTCCTAATTTCGAAATGCTTTCTAACGGTGTGGATGATCAAATTGACAAAGGCAAAGAAAAAAATGACGTTATAGCACAAAAGTAAGCTAATTTGATCGTCTACAAAGATGCTATGGCTCTTTCACTTTTCGAATCGACCGAACTACGCGGGTCACCATTTTGTTTTGCCCGAAAGTTCTCGCAAGATCTACTCCTCCCCCTTCTCTCTCTCTCTCTCTCTCTCTCTCTCTCTCTCTCTCTCTCTCTCTCTCTGTCGGCAATTTATTAAATCTGCAACCTGCAATTAGATTACAACTAGATCTAGATTCGAGACTAGTAAAGGCAGAGTCCAGGGAAAAACATCAATTAAATTCGTGTGGTGCAGATGAGTAAAGAGAGACCAAAACAATCTCTCTATTGCGACTATCATTGCACATCACTTCGCCTAATACATGTTCCGGTAGATTTAACTACCTATAAATAGATGGAAGTTTGACCCGTGTCAAAGGTTGGGGGTGGCTGACGATTCGGAGGTGGCTGCGGGTTGACGAAAGGGAAAAGCGCGGTGCCGCTAAGCATATCGACAATGGAGCCGAAAAAGAGCCTCGCTCTCACTCGAAGATTTCTTCGTGAAGTCAGTCAGGCCCATTAAGGAAACAAAAAAAAATCATCATCATCATCATCATCATCATGAAAACAAAAAGTCTACTTCACTTGTTGTTTTGCTTTGTTTATTTTTGAGTGTCTTTTGTTTTTTTGTATTTTAATGCGTTTTGTTGGGGTTTTGTTTTTTGTTGGTGTTGTTTTGTTTTGGGGGTGGGGGTGGGGTTTTTTGTTGGGTTTTTTTCCAGAACAATTGGGGCTAGATTTTAAAAAACTTTCTACATAAATGTATGTAAAATACTTGAAATTTTGTCACACGTAAAATGGTATTGTTCACAGCACTTCCCGCTTCTCAACCACTTTTCGATTCCGCATATGGCCTACGTCACAACTCATCAATGACAATTTTCAGTGGCAAAACTTGTTACAAGAAATTGATTTTAAAATGAAAACGTTCTTTTGCACTAATGGTTCTCAAAACATGCGTTCAATAAGCATAATGTCCCGATTAGAAAAACATGACGGACTTGCTATTAACAGCAATATTGCCCCATGTGTAAACATTCTAAAATCTGTAGAAACCACCCGCTTGAATCTTTTATTAGCATTTATTAAGGAATTTTCTAGAAGGTGTTTACAAAAACGTTGATCTGTTAAAACGAATTGATACAAGTAGGCCTAATTGTGCAAAATTTGGAGAACCTACATTTGATAGTTGAGAAGAGGTTTGCCAAACAGATGCGTAACGATTTTTTGACCCCACGGCAGTTATGTCTTTTATAGTAATGATTGCATTCATAACGCACACATCTTCCCCCTACAAATATTATTACCCTGGCAGATCCAAAAACACTGCGAAACATGTTTGCATTCTCTGGAAAGAACACAGTGCCTACCGCAGTTATGTCTCACCGTAATGTTTGTCTTGTTGGAATGTCTTGGGATATCCAGCCTCACAGGTTTTGGTACACTTAGGGGTGGGAAACATACCGGGTCCACAGGGCTTATACTTTCCCTTGACATGGTGGTCACAGTGGGGGAGGGAGTAGGGGAGGCAGCCCTGTGGAGATAGATAGATTGATAGATAGATAGATAGATAGATAGATAGATAGATAGATAGATAGATAGATAGATAGACCCTCGGAACACCCACTCCTATTCAATACAGCTCAAGGCGTAATAATAATACGGTACCTTCATCTCAAAACAAAATTAGACATTTGCACAAATAAACTCATTAGCCACATTTAAGAAAATGATACGCAATAAATAACAGCTTATAAATTGCCTTTCTTTTTGTTTATATCGTGCACCTTGAAGAAAAAACAACAACTACATGGTCAGACATTGAAAAATATTTACTTTACTTCTTGAATATTGTCAGAAAACGCGACAATGCAGTAAATACATGTACGTTAATCTTTATCTGCCGTAAGTCAGTCAGACAAATCCCTGGTCCTGAGCAAAGAGCTCTAAGATAAGTGACTACAACTTCGGTAAAATTATCACTTGAACAGACATGAGGAGACGATTACCTTCCTTTCAAAATCTGAAATTATAATTCTAAGTAGTGTAGCTTTAGTAAGAGTTTTACGGAACTTGCAACAAGATTAAGGTCACATAATTGGCCAAAGTTAGGCGTGTTTCTGGAGATTAATATAGAAATATAATAAGGAGGACAGATAATGACGATTGATGTTTGATATGAAAGGAGACGCCAAGCAACACCAGAGCACGCGCCAACCACCCACTATCTCAAATGCCAACTCCAACAGTATGAAAAGTGGTTCTTTTGACAAAAAAACACAACAGTTTATCACTCTAAAGGACTGTCTGTAAGAGTAAAATAAAGTAAAGTTGTTCCCGCATCCGATCCGGACATTGGGGATTGCCTTGTTAGTGAGACAACTTCCCAGGCCTTCGGCATAATATTGTGGTAGGGTGGCAAGTTCCTTTCTACGCCACCTTTACTTCCCCAACTCGAAGCCAGGTACCCATTACTTCTGGGTGGGCAGGAGGGGGCGAAAATAATACGCGTCCAAACCGAGGCTCGAACCCGGACTTCTCGCTTCGTAGACGAGCGCACTAACCGCTCCGCCTCAGCACCCTCGGCTGTAAGAATAACGATAAAAATAGTTATGGTTTTCAAGACTGACCTGTTTGGTACCGTACTGGCCACCGCTGACCACGCCAAATTTCACGTAATAATTCCAGGCAGCTGAAGGGGAACCACCATCGCATCTGAAAAAAAAAAGTTTTATAAGTCTAAACTTTTCATACAGTTTCAATTTCGCATGTACTTTTTTTTATAATACCCAGTACAGGCACTCTGTCGAAATCCCCTTTCACTGCAGAGTACTTCATGAGACTATTTAGAACAAAATGAAGGGCACGGAGGGAAAAGTTGCGGGAACAACGAGCAAATTTGTCCTTCATTCGCGACGCCTAGGTGCTCACTAGTTCATATGATATAGAGTTTTTACACAGAGCAAGGAGCAGTGGTGACAGCAATGTTGAGGTGTAAGGTTTAACATTTTACGTCGGTGAAATTCCCTTTTTAGGTCAAAGAAATCAAAACTTGAAATAAACACTCCGACTCCTGTAAATCAAATTTAAGCCCCCCCCCCCCCCCCACCACCTTTCCTCTCTGTCTTTCACACACACACACACACACACACACACACACACACACACATGCACACACACATGCACATACACACATACACACACACACACACACAGGCACATACACACACACATACACACATACACACACATAACACACATACACACATACGCTCGTACATACACACATACCAATACACAATCAAAGTAAAAAAGTTTTTTTTTTCTTTTGTTCATACGGCTCATTTGTTTCCATTACCAAGCCGCCCCAAGCAGAATATCCCGAATTTGTCTGAACAATTAACTAAAACGACTTTTTAGAGAAATAAATAAAAAGATCAGCCATTTGTTACAAGTTTGTGATTAATTGCAACAATATAATAACTAGATATCTACGTGTGCTTTGTTTATTGTCTACATTTAGATAATAAGATGTGTCATTTATTTTTAACATAAGTTTGTTTTTTATTGCAACAACAATTAATGATGTATGAAAGTAAAACAGCGTGTGATATAATGTCTACATTTTGCGCAGAGCTGCCTCAAGATCACGTATCTAGCAGCCTCCGGCAGTAACTATTCGCTGAGGAAAAGGAGTAGTGGGGGTCGGTTGAAGGCAGCAGCTTCAATTCGGAATTCGTGATTTTATGAATATGTGTAATATTATGAGGTGGAGTTCGAAATTGTCGAATAGGCTGAAAGGGTCGATTTTTATCGGCAGTTTCAGCCGATTCTTTATATATATATATATATATATATATATATATATATATATATATATATCTGTATTCGCGGCTCCTTCATCCATTACATACATGGCTATATATGATGGAGGAGATTGAAAGATTATTTATTCGTAGCAACACGGCTCTCGGACTCGCAACCGTAAGGTCGTGGGTTCGAATCCCGTCAGGGGCCCGACGTTGTGTCCTTGGGAAAGGCATTTTGCACACATTTTCCTCACTTTACCCAGGTGAAAATGGGTACCCGGCTATAGACAGTGAACGCAACGATCTTGTCAGTTTGATAGTGTTTGAGCGCGTAAAATCCGCAGCTTGCACTGTATGCTTCCGCGGAAGCCGAGGATGTTTCGAGTGTTCTCAGAGGGTCTGCTGGGGTAATAATAGTTGTAAAGCGCATAGAGCATGCTCTTGGGCATGGATATGCGCTATATAAATGCAATTATTATTTTATTTTTTTAAATTATTATTATTATTATTATTATTATTATTATTATTATTATTTTCATTATTATGTAAATGATCTTACAATCGGAACAGAAAATAAATAACTTGATACCATCAAAAGCTCCGAATTCAGCTCCTTGGCTTCCAATTAGGGATGGCATTCGATACTTACCCACCACCACAATAGTCACAACAGCTGTTGACCTCTTCTGCAGAAATGTGGACAGCTCCTCCTCCTTTGATGCAGATTCTGTCAGTCATAGCCTCAACAGACCCAAAGGCCTAGATGTATGTGGAAGAGGAAAGAAGTGACACAGAGATGATATGTGTTCTAGTTGTACAAGACAGGAATCGTGAGAGGGAAAGAGAGAGAGGGGGGGGGGAGGGAGGGAGAAGAATGAGAGAAGAGAGAGATGAGGTAAGAAAAGAGAAAGAAGAGAGATATAGAAAGAGATGAGAGAAGAGAGAGTGGGTGAGTAAGAAAGATTAGACAATTAGAGAAGAAGGAGAGCGAGAACAGAGATATAGGGTGGAAATAGACAGAGAGGAGAGAGAGCAAAAGAGAGAAGAGAAAAGAGAGAGGGAAATAAAGAGATTCACTGGAAACGGTATTTGAAAGTAATCTGAGAATAGAAAAGAAGACATCGAAAAGGTACCTGAGAAATATGTTAGTAGTCTGATCGACTAGTTGCTAATTTAAATCTGCAACGACACAATTTTGATCTTTTTAGAGGCTGGCTTTTTTTACTTTGGTCGCCAGTGCCGACCCCAAAATATGTGGGACTTATTCCTTCAAAAAAAAGGGGCAGTCGACAAAATTTGTACAATATTTGCCTTAGTTTGAGTATGCTGTGAGAGTATAACACAATACGTGGAAACATCGACACATCGGAAGGGATAGTCTTGATGATTTGATTCCCTAGCAGGGTACCGCTAGTCCTTGTTTTTTACAGCTTTTTTTCTTATGTTTTGATTTGCTCTGATTTGACTCTTTTTTTAAAATCCTGTGTCTCTGTTTATTTCCGGGGTTGACGAACGTTGCTCTTACTAGGTTAGCAAAGACAAGACAGACAGAAGCAGCCCGCCTCCTTAAATGTTTATAATGTTGAGTACGCTGCTTCTCTTGTGTGGTTTACTCCTTCTTTCCTATCAAACAGTTATCTTCTTTATCTCTCCTCCTTTTTGCGTTTGTTACTCTCTTACAACACCTCCAACCTCCTGCACTTATACGACCTCATCGTGTTGCGAGGGCCGTAAACCTCTCACTAAAACTAAAACTATATTGAGTAAGAGCCGGCGTTAAAAAAAAAACAGTAACAATCAGATGAACTAGGAAAGTGGGAGAATCTACTCACCCAACAAGAGCCGCAGTCAGACTGATCTCTGACCTCACTCAGGCTTTGACATTTGGGCCATTTCTTCCTGGGGTCAAACTCTTTGGGCAGATCATCCATCACCCACACCTCCTTGTACTTCAAGAACTCTCTGACAGAGAGAGACCAAAAAAAGTGAATTAATGTTTTCATTGCTTTGACTGTGGCTGCTTCTACTACTACTACTACTACTACTACTACTACTACTACTACTACTACTACTACTACTACTACTACTACTACTACTACTACT